GGTCATCTAGTAATTAATACAATTGACTAAATGCTATAAATTAAAAGAAAAAAATGGTCTCTCCGTATATTATATTACTTAATTATGTAACGTGCAAAACTTTATAGCTATTTAAAAAAATAAAAGGATATAAAAATAAAATATAAACACTATTAACAAAATAGAAGCTAATCAATCGTTAACGATGAAATGCAAACGATTTGGACAAAAAAAAAATAATAATAATACAGAATTCATATAAGTAGTAATTTAAATGTCTATTCTACATAATATTATTGTAAGGGGATGGGATATGTTATAGAGACTTTTAATTAAATAAAAGTAATAATACAAAAAATAGAACAAACAAACTGATGAATCTTAGATATAACATAAATTAACATTTTATAGGAGTAAATAATTGAGTACCAAATCCTTTTTTTATTTTCCGTTGAGTGAACTGTCAAAAGTTCTATTATTTGGGAGTGCCTATAGTAGTTAGTTAGTTTCTTGTTATTTTTTAATATGTAATTTTGTTTTTCCTAATTCATTGCGTATGTTTTTTTTGTTTGGTCTATAAATTTTATTCACTTATTGTGCAATGTTATCAATTTAGGGTCGCTTGTTAGGCCAGGAGTGTTTTTATAAATAAATCGTGAGTAAAAATTATCTAACTTATATTTCAAAAAACATGAACATTATTTCTTTCTTATAAAAGGGAATAGAAACCCTTTTACAGCACCATCTACATCGTCATTCATCATTTGTCGTATGAAGAATCAAAAGGCAAAAAATAATAATATTATTTCACATGATGATTTGTATTTTTCGCAGTACGCAAAACATTTAAGCAATGAGCACACCGAGGCTAGAGGTACTAACGGCTACGCTTCGTCGACCGACCGTAAAGAAATGGAATCCATAAAACCAAAGAAGTGCCTATTCAAACGCTTCATACAGATGAATCTACGCTGACCAATTAAAATTGCATCATTCAAAACCTACTTCCGTGGATTGCTGGTTAACGGCCATGGTTTACAATACCTCAAAAAATCAAGATTTTTTAAACGCATATCTTAAGAATATGTCCCATTACAAATTTGCAGACTGCTGGTCTTTAAATTAAGAAAATTTGGAATTTAATTTACTGCATTGCAACAAACATTTCTTTTCTCATACACGTAAATTTATAATTAGTTGATGTTTTTTTATATACCAATAACTTATTTAGGTTGGTTGACACATTAAGTTATTATTATATATATAGTCTCTCTGCAATGCACGGCACAATAATTAAAAAGGTTACTTGATAAAAAGTCGTGCGTTTCTATGTCATAATCTCTTAAATCACTATATGAGTTCTCAGTTTAAAATATTATTAATTATTATTATTCTTTAGAATATATAATAAAAAACTTATATTTTATAATAAAAAACAACTTTCATACAGCGGGGTGCATTGAAATCAATATCGATTTCAATGCAAACAATATTTCGGTACAATGTTGAACAATCTAATATATAATATATGTTTACGGTTACTGTACTAATTGAGACATTTCTTTCGGAAGTTCTGAAATATTATTATTGCTTATATCCAGATGAGTTAGGGCCTGTAGCGTGCATGTTTGTTGTGGTAAATGGTATAAGGTATTCCCGCGCATGCGTAGAACGCGTAGAGCAAAATCTGCGCCATGTTGCGCGAGAGCCGTCGCAAGACAAGATCTACCACCGCCACTGAGGTCCAATACATTTGGAGGCTGCGTACTTTGAGTGGCCTGGAATATATACTTAGTACGTAAGTAAATTCCGAATCGGGATTTTTTTATAATAACGAATACCAACGAAGGATTTGAATATGCTTAAAATATAACACTGAAATACAAAGCAAGTAAGTGGAACAAAAGTGCTAACATTGGTCATGTAGGCGTTATATTTTCCCGATATTCGAGATTAGATCCTTCGCACTAATAGGTACTGTTGTATAAACTAGTGCACGACGGAACTCGAGAAGCAGTTAATAAGAAAAAACGTTAGTATTAGTATTAAATTCAAATTAATTTATTTATTCGAAATATGATAGATAACTAGTACGTTTTTCGCATTAAGATTGTAGATGTAGGGTATAAATTTTAAGCACTTCCCAGAAGTGTTAGATAGATGTATAATTTTCAATTAATATTTATGAAGTTTCAGTCAGCAAAAAAAGATAGAAAAAATGCATTTACTATTGATATAATTTTAAGTAATTTAAATTAAATTAAAAAGTGAATTTATGATGTCATATAATTTATTTGAAAATAGAACTGTAATGAACCCTACAAAACTTGTCTACGATCAACTAACTTAACAGATTGGTATATATGGCTGAGAGTATTCTCGTACGAGTCTTTCAAACAAAAATTATAAAAAAAGAAAATTGGTGCATTTGTTTGGAAGGCACTTGCACTTGTTATAAACTAAGTAGATAATTAATACAGTAAAACTGACGCACCGAATTAAATTTTCCCCTAAATATTGTTGGTTCCAGACTATCCAAAAACACATCCTCATTTTGAGTAAACACATCCAAACTATCACTGTCCTCAGATATCATTTTACGTATATTCAAGGTTTTATAATCTACCATACATTAGATTGCACTTTAAGCGCGAGACCGTCGACCTCAGCATTGTTATTCCCAAAGACTATGTAATAACTTCCATTCGTTTTATTATTCTGGTCACGCTTGTTGAAAAGTGACTTATGAGTGGCCTTGCGATCTTCACATGTTTCTACAAAACTATTTGTACGCTGGCAAAGTCTGAGTTAACTTTGGGTACGCGAAAGCACGACTGAGTGATACCTACGATTTGACTGTCTGGGTTTGGTACACCTGCCCCGCTAACTTTAGTTATCTCGAGCGTGACACTTGCAGGGTGATGCGCACGCGATGTTCTATGAATTTATTAGTAACGTAACTAATTTTGATCGCTATGGATCTTGTTATTGTAAAAAACTCTATAACCTATTTAGAGTAGACGTTACGTTATACCAGCCTTACTTTAAAAAATCTGAAGGTACAACTAATATTTTTATCACATAATATTGTTCGGAGATTAATAAATGCATAACACGTTTCTTAAAACATTTTATTACTCTTCACTAGATAGAGCGACTTTTATTTTATTTTTGAACACAACCCTAATCAAATTATATAATTATAAAATCGCTTAGGTAAAAGATTTCTAGTAATTTCTTCTATGCGAATGGTTCGTTAGTTTGAGAAGTGTACCGGAATTCTCAATAATTTGCTCATAACTCAAAACAGTGATCCGAGACACTATCAACTCAAGAAACATATTTGCAAGCATTTAAAATCACTCATGCATATATAATGGGACTCAAGAACATCTACAGTAAGCCCTAGATCGAACTTTACTTCATCCATAGTACTTACATCTTTAAGCCAGTTGAACCACATATTTCTCTCCCATACTGTACTAAATCCCAAAAACAGGTGATTTAGTCCTGAATCTAACAGATTGTTGCCTTGCCAACGAGGCTTAATGCATATCACCAACCTCTGCGCCTTAGGTGGGCAGAACTCAATAGTTCCCCCACTCAATTCAATTTTGTCCCAAGTTGTTCCTGGACAGACAAAGAGAGATTTTAGAGATCAATAAAAGAGTCGAACATGTAATATAGCTATGATTGTGCGTACCTAAAATATGTAACTGCGATCCAAAAATTTGTGCGGATCTTGGCTTCCACTGTGGAAAAACATGACCTTTAAGAACATACACTGTTCCGGACTGACACACTCCACTAGATCGCGACGCTGGTCCAGCACACCATCGCAGACTGTGTCGCATCTCAGGATCCACAGCCAAGCGAAGCCGACGAGCCTCTGATCTCCATCCGAGTTTAATAAGATATTGCTCCTGAATCCTCCACGGATATTCATATGATTCCAGTCTTCTTGTCTGTTCGCCAATTTGCAGCCATAATGTAAGTTCCTCACTAAACCCAAGTTTTTTGTTTACGTCTTCTGCTGTGGTATTATTGGACACCTTCACTAATTTACTGGGAGCATCAACCGCGTACGGCTGGAGCCCTTCAAATACACGTATCCAGGTGAACTCTGAATGGGTTTTGAAACCCCTGGTGGATGATAACCGGCGTAAAGACTTGCGCGGGACGGTGGGCGATGAGGCGTGCAGCCCATCGTCGCAGACCATAGCGGCAGATGGACGCAAGGCACGGAGGCCGCTAACGTAATGTCCGCACGGTGCCCACTATTGCATTACAATTAGGTCGAGCGAGGTGGGGGTGGGAAACATGTCGTTCGGTCACTCGGGAACACTGTATGTAAATTTAATTCAGACATACCGATTGCATAGTAATGCCTATGACAACTGATAACCATTTTTACATCCTTTCTAAACTCTTAATAAACAATAACTAAGGTTCAATTTAAGACTGGAATTTGAACTGGTTAAGTAGAGTCGGTTCCGCGTCGCCAGTTACCCCACCTGCTGAGTCACCTGCTGTGTGCAAGGACCATGGACCCTTTGTTTTTTAAGAAAGGACTTTACATCACAATAAAATAACGGTATATATTTTTATAGAAAAGATTTAAATAAGCTTCAGCTAAATCAACAATATATTTCTTAATAATTTGTAGAGCACTTAAAATAATTTTACTAACAATCTTATCAAAAGTTGCTAATAATCAAGAATCAAGGTCACGTGCTTTTAGGGTACTTAATAAGTAAAGTAGGTAAATAAGGTAATTTTATATAAACAGCTTTTAGCATCCCGTGACTGAAAAATACAGTAGCTCTACAATTATTTGACAAAGATTAAAACCCTACTGTAATATTACCTTACCTTATGCGCACGTAACCACTAGAGCCTCTGTAAGATGTCATACAAATATAGTATTAAACGATTAAGATGTCACGCTTATGGTAGAGCTAGAATACTTTATAGAGAAACTTATAACTGAATAATGGACATTTTAAATATAATAGTATCTTCTACCAAGGATAATTCTTGTGTAACCTTTGGTTCCCACAAGTGCATGTTGCATTACAAGTACCTTGTGGACAGACATTAGCAACTCTTACAAGATCATTACAGTTGGAGAAATAGTCTTTAACTGGGCAAGAGTTGGTACAAAGTGCATCAGACACGCAACTTTCAGTGCAGTCACCGCATTGAGGGCCGATCTTGTATGGATACTGAATTATGGTTTCCACGTTGCCACTGCAAAAAAAGCAGTTTAAAGTTATATAAAGAACTCTCTAGTATTCGATACAGATCCTAGGATTTTATAAACAAGACAACAGCCTTTATATATTCATGCTGATATACCCCCTCATTCGTAAACTGCATCTATCTCACACTGTTTTGACTAAAGATTTATGGAAAAGAAAAAGTTTTGGTTAAAATAATGGAATAAGGTTTATGTCACCTCAAAGTTAAGTATACTAAAAAAATCAAATTCAGGCGTCTGCTGACTTATCTATATATAACGCGATAGCTTTCTGTTGTACTGATCAGTGTAGCCCTAATGGTATCAGCGTGCGACTCTTTGGGTCTTGTTGAAGAGACCCAAAAGAAATCTTATCACCTACTAGAAAAAAACTATGATCACAAAACAGCTACCTACTGAATTCTGAGGCTCAGACCTATTAGGTTTTAGGTTGTAGAGCTATTAGTTTATTTATCTATCCAAAATTTCAAATTGGTATTGCTACAATAAAACTGAAAATTGGCCAGTTAGTAGGATGATCTACAAGAAAAATACAGAAACAACTGCAAGATTTTTAAATAAGTAATGTTGCGTTGACATCGCTTAGAACTGTTTACATTGTTACATCTAATTAGTAGGTAAAAAAATAGAGAATACAAATTGTATGCTTTGCATTATTATATTATCTGGGTTTCGACCCAAGCTGTCTACAGATGGTGCTATACTGAGTCTTAAGCACACCGTTTCATACTATCTGCGTCGGAGGACGGCGGTATATGCCTGTTTCCTTGATCTTTCCAAGGCATTTGATTTGGTTTGCTACGATCTACTTTGGAAGAAGCTAGAGGATATAAGTGTTCCTCAAGAACTTCTGAACGTATTTAAGTTTTGGTATGGTAACCAAATCAATAATGTTAAATGGCCCATCCATTGCCCTATACGATGCAGTGTGGAGTAAGACAAGGTGGACTGAGCTCTCCATCTCTCTTTAATTTATATATAAACGCTTTGATTGAGACGCTTAGCAGCGAGCGTGTCGGCTGTCACGTGGACGGTGTGTGCGTTAACAATATCAGCTACGCAGACGATATGGTGCTGCTGAGTGCGTCGGTCTGCGGGGTTAGACGTCTCCTTAAGCTCTGTGAGGTATATGCGGCTAGTCATGGTTTGAAATATAATGTAAATAAAAGTGAAGTCATGGTCTTTGGGGCCGGTTGGAAGGGTGTGTCCAGTATACCCCCCATGTCGCTATATGGGGTCCCTAAATATCTTGGACACATTTTGACACCCGACCTCAGGGACGATGCTGATATAGATAGGGAACGGAGAGCGTTGTGTGTCAGGGCGAACATGATCGCCCGCAGGTTTGCACGATGCTCAATTGATGTGAAAGTAACCTTGTTTAGAGCATTCTGCACATCATTCTATACGAGCGCCTTATGGTCGAAATATACTCGATTGTCGTACAACGCTTTCCGTATCCAATATAATAATGCGTTCAGGGTGCTGTTGCGGCTGCCTCGATTCTGCAGCGCATCGGGGATGTTTGCTGAGGCGCGGGTGGATTGTTTTTACGCCGCCATACGCAAGAGATGTGCATCCTTGGTGCGCAGGGTGAGAGCTAGCGGTAACGGTATCCTCCGCATTATCGCGGACCGAGTCGATTGCCCATACCTGAATCACTGTTCCTCTATTTCATGCGGAATGATTCCGGTATGAATTAATGTAAACATACTAACACTTAGATTTAAGGTATTAAGCTGTAATTTACTAACATTGTTATGGAACCTTGTTTTCTGAATTAAACAATTAAATTAAATTAAAAATTTTTTTTATTAAATACCTACTATATAACGTTGATACTTAAGCAAAATAAACAGTTTTATTTTAAGATTACTTGACAATGTAAATATGTATATACTATATACGTAATTGTGCATAATCCTTGTATTTTTAGAAACAATGGGTGAAGTCCATAAAAGTTTGCCTGAACTGAAGTGAACCAATCTAAACGTTACAACGATACACGTAAAAATATTAATTGTATTAAAAATACCTTTAATTAATTAATGTTAGAAGAAACTTGAGGCGTGATCTCCACTGCTGCTGTTAGATATTTTTCATAAAACATTTTTATCTGTTGCTTACGTACATACATTTAATAACAAACAACAGAATATATAGAGAAACAAAAACGACCTACAGTTTTTTACGTAGATATAAACGTTTTATTATTGTTCAATGATATAGTAAGCTAAGCTACAGTTTGAAACGAATCTAAGCCAGCAGAAACGATTAATGAGTGACGGACAGCTTATTGCCAGTTCGTCTCGTCCGTTTTACGCCCTTGGTTTCAGAACTGTTAATGTAAGTTCAGAGGCATTAATTTTTTTTACTGATGTTCATAAGTGTACTAATATTAATCTTCATGAATAAATGATATTCTAATTATGAATTTTTGAAAGTTTCATTTATGACAAAAGATTTATTAGGTTGTTTGGTACCTATACATATTGTATGGAATTACCCAAGAACTCACTTGTGTAGTGAACTTACTTGTTATACAATAACAATATAAAACAGCATTTTATTACAAATATTCGTAAATTTTCCAATTCTCGAAATAGATAAATGACATTTTAGATTTAGAACACGAATCGAATATAATGTAAGTAGTTTACATAAATAACTATAATTGCGTATTCTGTATGGGTTTAATATCTACATGTATATGCAAGACGTGCAAAAGCTCGAGTAATATAGTCAAAGTAGTTATTTTATATTAAAATAGTCTAAAGGCTAATTTGTGAAAAAAGTTTCAGGCGTTCTTTGACACGAGTTTTAAATTTTTTTTTTTAATTAAAGTCTCTTCACTTATCATTGGATATTTCAATCTAGCCTTATTTAAGACTAATAAGTAATTTAAATCTAACCTAATTTACTAATAAACATATTTAGCATAAGAAAGTGTCCAATAAAATTACTTACAGTCTGTATTAAGGGGAAGATACTCTGTTATTGTGTTCTTTATTTATATAATCTTGAATTTAATAACATTTGTATTACGTTTATAATTGTGTTTAGAGGTCAATCGAATCAAATTATAGTCTCCTGCGGTGCCACTCGTGTTAAGTCTGTAGCATGACCTTATCATGCAAAACCCTCGATAAATGTACCATCTAACGCAATATTTTTTCTATGCTACTTACCTACTATACGTGACCGTTATTTTTCCTAATTACCCATACACTTAGTACCCACGTTTTCTAAGTAAGATAGTCTTTAAAAGAGATTGTATTCATATATAAATTTTGTATTTTGTGAGTAATAATTTAACCATACAGATTTCTTTGTATAAATAGCATTAAAAATGTACTTACGCCGGGCAATAATGACAAACGTAATTGTAGAAGGTACCCCAAGGACCTCCTGGGCAATGTGCAACTCCGCAACCGACTTTATGCGAAGTCGCCCAAACCATCTGTGTGTAATGTCCTACTGCCTTAAGGTTTCTTATCGGAGCTCCATATGTAAAGTTTTGATACTCCAAAAACCAATTTTTTATTGCGAAGAACCTGTAAAATATAAATCTTTTATTTCCTACGAAAGAATGATATCACAAAAACTGAATTATATTTTTAGATATTAATAGTTAAACAATAATAATATAATAAAGTTCATATACTTTCGTCCCGGTAATATCTAAGCATATCATACTATGAACCTTTTATACAAACGTATGTTCCGAATATTATTGCAAATTTTTTACTTTATTCTCGTTTTATTATGAACCTGCCTCGGATTCAGAACATAGACCCGGCGGGCTTGTTTTTGAATAATATAAAAGTTAGATATATGTTGTCGCTAATTTTTTGGTAGCCATTATCAAGCTACAACTCAATCATAATATATCTCTCACAGTTAAGGCAGCGTTCGTAAGAAGATTTTTAGTTCGACCGGTTTTTCTCCGACATACCTAGCAAATCCAAATGCAAATAAAATATAAAAGGTCCTATAACTTTGACTAAAAACGTGGCCTTCTATTGGTAAAATAAATTTAAACATCGGTTCAGTCGATCTTACCTCCTGCAACCGCACACACCTCTTTATAATATTACTATAGACTATAGGTAGTGACGTATTTTATAAATACTTTCTTCGACTATATCACTAATGTATATATTAAAATATGTAATTATTTCCATAACATTCAGACAATACTCGCACAAGCGCACCATGTGAATATAAATCAAGTTCTTACTAATAAAAACAATAGTCAACTGTTTATTACAATATTTTGAGCCATTGTAAATTGACTCTTATGTGCATTCTATACGTTATCTGATAAATAAATTTTAACAAGATTAATCAAACCACAATTTTAGTGTAACATCTTTGTTTTTTGGGAAACGTTGTAAAATTAATTAATAAAGCTTATTATCTAGCTGTTTACCGTTTTTATTTATGTTATAAAAGAGTATTGAGATTGATTTTTTTGGTTTAACGATTATTCTTAGTCGTGTATCAAGATTTCTTTAAATAGTGGTAAAATATAATGAAAAATACATTCTTCCAAAAATTGAAGAATAGTTGCAATTGGAAATTTTAAATTTATTAAACATGTTTTTTAAATTTGGCTGAATACAAAACTGGGCATCGCTTTTTTTACATAATACGTTTACGCATTAGCGTAGAGAACTTATATATTATTGAACCATACACGCATATATAACAAATAGGTACTCCGTAAGATAATAAAAATAACTAGCTAAATTAATTTCAAGTTCACTGTTTAAACACAAAAGTAATTCATTACATGTCAGTCTGTGAAATCTGTAATTAGGTGTTCACGAATTTCCTATTATCTGACAATGTGGAGGTTAAGATCGTGACTTTAAGGTAAAATATAATACAAACGGATAAGGAAACAAGCCAATTTAGTAAAAAAAACGCAGAGAGGTATTAAACACGTATGCAATTTATTTCATTAAAAAGCTTTTTATATAAGTTCAAATTTTTTGTTCACGAAATTAAAAGTCGCGAGCGTTCTGCCTCCCATCACATCTCTCATCAAGTGAGCTTATGGCCTTCTGTTCCATAAAAAAGAGATACTACTCGTAGGTAATATTTTGTTTGTTTGAACTGAGAGATAGTTACATTCTTAAAACAAAAGTTAAATGAATGAAAGAAAAATAAAAGAATATAAAAAATTACATAGTAGCGCCGTTATTATTATGTATAATGTTCTGAATTTTATATGATAATTTGGTTTGTTAATGTTTTATATCTCTAAAATCTGTAATCTACAAAGCTCCGGATTAAAAACTATGAGTAAAAACCCCATTTCGCACTTATCATATATGTACTTTCGACCTAGTATCAAAATTGCTATACATATTTATACATACCATGGAGTCTTCCGTGAAGCAACGAAAAGATTTTGTCCGCATGAACCTAAATAGGGCACAGTGTTTTCAGCCGCGTCATTGTGTTGTAAGAAAACGCATCTCTCTGCGTAATTTTGAGCTTGACGAGCAGCTAGTGGATGCCACGACTGAAAAGGTTTGAAAGAGGAGTTCACAGCAATAACTTAGCAAATATAAGTTTAAGATGTTATCTATATAATAGAAGAACCCGATTCAGAACGACCTTCACTAATTTCTACAATGGATGAAAAATATATTATTATCCGACTTAAAATGATTATCAGTTCTAATGATATTTAACCATGATAATCTTTAAAATTTCGTATGAATATAATGGTTTAAATGAAATATATTCTAATTAAGACAACAGTCTGAGTCCCGTCAAAGTCGGTTCAGTAGTTTTTTAGCTTTTATATTTTTCAGTTGTAGGTATTCCAAGTTAATATTTTCAAAATTAGTATTATATTTGATAGTTATATATCCGAAGTATGTCATATATCGCGAGTGGTTCGGCTAAACATTTCGGGCTATTATTTAAATAAATTTTGTATGGAATGGAAATGCGAAAAAGCTATCCGGTCCCGACAAAGGTCACAGAGGTCACCTACACAGTACACACCCACTCCAGGCTACATTAAACCGGGTGCCCGTACTTACAATTAATTTAAACGTTTTGAAACAAATTTAAAGTTAATAATTTTAAATCTTTTTACAGCTTTACCATTAATAGCATGTTGGAAGCAGTTGGTCTAACTTTGGTTCGAAAAAAATTATGATAGAGTACTATCTTTCTTCGCACCACCGATCTACGAGGACTCAAGCCATCTTCCGGAATTTTATTCGAAGGGAAGAGTTCTAAAAAACATTATTGAAATATAAAAAGACTTCATTATTATAAAACCAAATACATACATATAAAAAAAATACTTACGTTTATCGCTCCAAGTTCTTACGCTTTGTAACATTGCAATAGAATTTAAAAAGACAAACAAACCGAACCAAAATATAAATTTCCAAGGCATCATTAATTACTATTAAATAATATTTTAGTGTGTACCATTAATACTGAAAGAAAAATGATACATGAATTATTAGAATATTTAAAAATTGCTACTATTATTTGTATACGATAGCAAAAATTGTCTAGCACTGTTTATACAGGTGAACATTTGAATTTACAGTAAATAATCTTTGTATTATATGATTTTATTGATTTACAAAATCTTGTTAATATTCCTCTCAAATACATGCCTTGAAACAATTTCAGGGTCTTAAACTTTCCATGAAGTGTAATGTACACATTTATCAAAACGTCTCCAATATTTACCTTATTCAGAAAACGTGAACAAATTATGTATGTTAAGCATTCCCATATTAGAATACCTTATGGGAGATAAATTAACCAATGTTAAATTAACAAATTAGTTTCTTTCTTAGGTTTGGGTACCTTCTACATTAATTTTTTTTCGGTTTTAATATCACCGTAAATCAAAATTGTTATAAATCATTTTATAATATATACATAAGAAATGCATTTTAAAAGTTTTAGCCTCAGCATTTGATTAAATATACTTAATTTAAATAAAAGTAGTTATTATAAAGTAAATACTTCAGAAAATAAACTTACCTGTGTCTGATCTATGTATATAATATAATTAAAATTTATCAACACTTAATAATTTTATTATTGATTAATATAATTCTATGCGTATAATATTGCCGTAGTAAATCTTAATATTTTAATGAATTAAATATTGGTCTCGGTAACGGCCATGTATCGCGAGAGTAAGAATTGAAATAAACGGAAAGACGATGATTGACCACTCAATGCCTAGTCGGTAAATTAATTTAATACGCAATTCAGTACATTTTATAACTTATACGCGTATGATCGTAGTAGATTTTTTCTAAAAGATTCCCACTATTTTTTGATAACACAGATTCACTGCGTTATTTATATAGGTTTTTTTATGCCAGTAACTTCTATAATCTATGTTTTCGCATAAAATTGGCATTTGAAACCATTCTCTTTAAGAACATTGTTGTGTGATTTGCTCTTTATAAATACGTTAAAAATACCGTGAGTAAAATTTATGAAAACAAGTGGAACGTTAGAATAACATATGAAATTACATATAAAAAAATAAGTGAAAATTTGTGACCGAAAATAAGTCTTGGTTTAAGGTCCTTAACAGGCCATAAAACAAATTAAGAATACTTTTTTTTGAACTTTAAATATATTTCTAAACAAAAAGTTTAACAAGACTTCTCGTTTATAGCATACTAAGATTCTCACGCTATAAGTCATTTAATTAAAGTGAGCTTTGATACCGTGTCCGAATAAATTGGCGCCTTGACGCCATTTTAAGCAGTGATTACTCTTAATAACTAACACTACTAGTTAACGATAGGTCAACGATAGTGATGGCTTTTAATTAAAACAATAACTTGTGTTTATTAAATATAACACTGAATGAAAAAAGTAATAGCAATTTACTTTGTTCGCATTGGGTATGCACTATTCACACCTTTGTAGTGAGTTTACGTACAGTTCTATTTTAAATAGAAGAATAAACAAATAAATAATTGAAAAATTAATCATGTTTCGTCGTCGCAATACGCAAAACATTTAAATATGCAATGATTTTTTTACGTAACGACCCATTACTGTATAAAAAAATGTATTTTTTGTCTCATAATAAATGTATTTTATTTAAACTTGCAGTAAAGAAAAAAAAATCATTAAATATACGTATTTAAGTTTATTAGATTAAGTAATCTTTACACATTATAATAATAATTAGAAGTTCACAAAATCAAATTCCCTATCCAGTTTCAAAGTAAGAACCAAGGTTTCTTCTGATGTATCCCAGTTGGCTTTTGATGTGTCAGGGTTGATCGCATGAGGTAAGGGCAGCTTCAGATGAAATTGAGATGAAGTGATAGTAACGCTTGTTGCATCAACACTAAGATCTACATTTTCTTTTTTATCACCGGGCATTTTGACCCTCACAATGAGGTTTTCACAGCTAGCCGTCGATGGTGTTTTGGGACCAATCTAAAATGGATGGATGTAATGAATATTAACTTTACTAACTTAACTAAGACGACGTTATTTAATCTTGCGTTTATGCTAGTTTATTAATTCGCATGAACTGTTACAGAGATCTGTTACTAAGAACACGATCTGTAATGAACTATATCCGTGTCACATATATATGGAACATTCAATGCTTCTTCTCGTCATTTATACGTCCTTCATCAAAATTTTAAATTTAGCCAAGTATGCGGCCTACTACTCATTGCTTTCGATGGCCGAAATGATCATTAACAGGAACAAAAATCGTAATAATTGATACGTAAGTAGAAAAGTTATGCTCTATTATAGTAGACACACCAATAAAAACAAAGCAATTGTATCTACTATTTCCAAATTTTATAACAAGCCTTGCTGTTGATATCCATCCGTAAGTAAAGGTACCTGGAGAAAAACATCTTCCGCACTAACAGACTGCTGATAATTCATAGTATACGATGGAGTTTTCTTATCTGGAATACCAGCTCCAACTTTAGATAATTGATCAGCTTCTTCAGCCTCAAGAGCCTCATATTCTTCAATTGTTTTTGGGGTTCTCGTAACTTCTTTCATGGTGGAAATACTATTTCTGGTTGAAGTGATTTCATAACCTAAGAAATAGAATACCGTTACTCTCACTCTCTCTAACTCTCACAAAATAACTAAAAAGAATGGAAAGTTTTTTAAAAGAAAGAATGCAACAATTCTTATCAATATTTAACTCGAAGTTTTGAGTATATACACAAAAATAAAGAAAGTTCTAAATATTTTAAATAGAAGAGATTTAGAGAAGTAAAATATGTCTTATCTTAATATACGTAGTCGTCCCAAAGTTCTGTCATAAATGGAAATAATGATAAAAACAAAAGTACTGATCAGTTTGTAATGAGTGATATATCAATTCTTAGTACATTAATTAAGGAATAAAAAAAAAGCATAAAAATATTCGAAATAACCTCCCTCATTTTTAATACAGGCCCTTAAGCGTCGCGGCCAGTCGTCTATCGCAGCACGCACCATATTCGTGTCGATTTCAGTCACTGGTTTTTTAAAGATGACTTCAGATTCTCCAAATTTTCATGAGGTTTATCACAGACCTTCCTCTCTAAGCCCTGTCATAATTTCTGGTCCAAAGGATTAAGGTCCGGACTGGAGGAAGGCCAATCCTCATGTCTAATTAAGACGATGTTTTGACGCTCAAACCAGGCTTTAGTGGTCTTGGCTTTGTATGCAGACGCAGAGTCCTGCTGGAACACGAAGTGATGTCTCGCAAATAGGGTGCTGGACATGTCTTTGACAAGGCGATACAAAACCGTCTCTTGGTACACTGTAGCACTGGTTTTGACCCCTTTTCGAAAAAAATTAACCTCAGTTAGCCCGTAATAGGACACTCCCAACCAAACCATTACTGATGATGGATAATGTCCATGTTGCACCCTTGGAACTTTATTTTCAGCTTCTTCAGAACTCCTAGCGTACACTGTATAATTCTGTTTATTGTACTTCTCTTCAATATCGAAAAATTTTTCGTCCGTAAAGAGGATATCACGGTGTCGGTTTTTCGCGTACCGCTTAAACAACACCCGCGATCTCTTAAGCCTTATTGCTTTTAGACGAGCATTAAGTAAGTGCCCACTCTTTTTTGTATGCTCGTAGACCAAGATCTTCATTTAAAACCTTTTTTACTGTTTTCCTACTGACACCCATCTGCAAATCCATCAACTTCTGTTTTCGGACAGGATTTCTTACTATCCGCGCCTTGATAGCTTTGATTACTGCTGGTGTTCTTGGGAGCGTGGCCAGCCAGTTCTTTTCTTGTCCTCAACACTGGAGACTTCAAGGTACCTATCAATAGTACCGTACACAAACCTAAGCGTTATATTCAAATTTTTGAGCAACTTGAAAATGGTACTCGGCGAGTGTCCACAGCGGTGCAACGCAATAACAACTATTCGGTTTACTTTCAATGTCACTCCATCGTGAAAAATTACGGAAAGTTATTGTTTTTTGTTTTAAAACAATAATCAAACATTCCAAAATAGAATGCAATAATTTTTTATAAAATCCTGCTCGAAATGTAGAAATAATTTAGTGACAGAACTTTGGGAAATACGTATATAAATTACGTGTCACCTTGTTTGTCCGCTATAGACTCCTAAACTACCGAACTGATATCAATCAAATTTGCACACCGTGTGTAGTTCGATCCAACTTAAAAGATAGGATAGCTTACATCTCAATTTATACCCGCAAAATTATTTTATTGCAAATATTTGTTTATTATTTGATACAATTCTAACAGATGGCGCTGTGTTAAAAGTACCAACGTTTCACATAAGCTATCTACCTTTCACATAAGTTCTTCTACCGTTTCCCTTGAATAGTTTACTACTATGTAATATAACAAAAACCTTAGCCACAGCAACGCTTGGCCGGTCTGCTAGTATAATATACGAGTATTGCCTTGATCACACGTACCGAGCAAACCGGCGAGACAGTACTCTCGGTCGAGTACTCGGTACGTATAAACATAGCGCCGAGTGCTCGGCCGAGCGCTAGAAATTCAATATTTATCAAACATTCGAAAGAGGCCAATTAATTAATATATTTCCGGTCATAAATTAATAAATAATCAACTCTTGCTGATATAATATCAGGGAGAGTAGTTTTCGGCCCAAATATCATGAAAAAATACCAGTTCACCATACATTTGGGAGATTTCTACTGTTGTTAAGGATTAAAATATCTATAACATTCTAATGCCTTGATCACACGTACCGAGCAAACCGGCGAGACAGTAAAATGTCTCTCGGCCGAGACAGTGTAGTAACCGAGTAGCTGTTCACACGCATTTTGAAATCATTCAGTTCTATTAACAAGGCCTTTAAAACATTAAACAACTGCACTCAAAAAAACCACGTGCGGCGTCGCGACAATCATGTGGCGAGTGGCGAGCGGCGAGAAGTGTATGTTCAACCTGCGAGTGAGTGAGCGAGACAGTGCGGGGAAGGGGAGGGTGGAGGAGGGTGGTCACTGGTCTAGTAAGTAGAACGGGCAGTATTGTCTGCACTTTTTCGGCCGAGCGTCGGCCGAGCACTCGGGCTATGTTTATACGTACCGAGTGTGACCGAGAGTACTGTCTGCGGTTTGCTCGGTACGTGTGATCAAGGCATTAAAATATGTCCCCTAGGGATAATTTTTTATGTTTTCTAATGAAAATTAATGAAAATTTCTAATAAGTAATTTTCTAAGGAATGAGTAACTTTGTATATTTTCTAATTATCTTTTTACGATCCATCTTGTCCGAATTGTAGTCTCAATAGAACTGAATGATTTCAAAATGTGTGTGAACAGCTACTCGCTTACTACACTGTCTCGGCCGAGAAACATTTTACTGTCTCGCCGGTTTGCTCGGTACGTGTGATCAAGGCATTAATTCAGAACCAATCTTCATACACTAAATGAATCAGCGCTCTCTAGTAGTAGAAGTTCGTACTCGTGATAAGATGTGTAATGTGTATTTCGATAGTCTAGAAAAAAATGCAATAGATGTCTCTTATTGCCGCAGAGTCAGAGATGGGAAGTGGGTCAACATAATTTCTTGTGTACAAATAATTTGTAAAATATAATAACACACTGTATTGTACAGTACAATAAGTGTGTTTTTATATTTTGCAACATATCGACACTTAAATCAAAATATGAACGGAACGATATAGAACATACATAGGAGTAACTGTATAAAATTTCTTAAATAGACTCGCCATTGAAAGTTATGGAATTATTTGTTTGAAAGTATAATTTGATAAATAAATTGCACTATTTCGTTAAATTTAACAATTTCGAAATGAGCGTTAAAATGGTATGTAACCTGTTGAAGAAAGATCATCTCCTTGTAGTATTTCTGGTTCTGGAGGTCTCATCAATTCTGTTAGCTTCTCAAGCTGGGCTGCTGTAAACTCTACCATTGTTATAAAAAACAAAATTTAAAATCACTTCAACACCTTACTGATTATAAAACGCTGCACCAGAAACTCAATAAACTACAAAACAATCTACATTAATAATTATAATATTGACAAAATTAGAACTGTTGCTAAGATACCGATATCTCAATGTTTGACATTGCATGGCATTTCTTAATTGTGATGCTTGGTTTTCATTATACAGCTCTGAACTCTTTGAAGAGTTACATATAAAATAAAAAATATAATTACTAACAATTAAGTTAATAATGTAGATAATCTAATCTTAATATATATAAATCTTGTGTCACAATGTTTGTCCTCAATGGACTCCTAAACTACCGAACCGATATCAATCAAATTTGCACACCATGTGTAGTTCGATCCAACTTGAGAGATAGGATAGTTTAAATCTCAAATTATAGTCGCAATTTTAATTTATTGCAAAATATTTGTTTATTATTTGATACAATTCTAACAGATGGCGCTGTGTTAAAATTATCAACGTTTCACATAAGCTGTCATCTACCTTTCACATAAGTTCTCCTACCGTTTCCCTTGAATAGTTTACTACTATGTAATATAACAAAAACCTTAGCCACAGCAAAGCTTGGCCGGTCTGCTAGTATATGATATTTTAAAGTTAATGTATTAAAACTTTCTCTCCCTAAAATCCCCTTCTGCCATATTTTTTTACAACTTAAGGCACTCTTATTACAAGTACACTGTCTAACTAGTCCTTGTTTTTTTTCCTCAAATTGTGTTTATGCTGGTCAGTAAACCTGTGTAATAAGATCAATTGAGTTTTTGGAATTGAATCAAATTTTTACTTTAAAAAGGTAGAGTTGTAAGAATAATAAATTTATAATTGTTAATGAAATATTTAATTATATTTATGAATGCAAGTGTTAATACAATTACAAAATTTGTATTAAAAAAATAAAACTACTGCAAAGACAATTACAAGTGTTTTAAGAAAATTTAAGGAAAGCCATCATCATCCTCTTCTGCCATCTCCTTAGCTAACTCTAAGTCTTGTTGCTCCCGTTCCCGTCTTTCTTCAGCACTCTCTAATTCTTTACCATATGACTTTGGAGGATATCTCATAGCTTTAACACTTTGATTGTGGAGTTCCAAGCAGAATGATATACGCTGATGAAAGGCTAACTGTGGCTCCCTAGTGCAGTACAAATCAGAACTTTCCTTGTTGCTCATGTAACCCTTCTCTGGATCAATGGTTGCTTCTATTACTCCATCTCTTATAGCTTTAGCAACAATAAACTCAGCATCTTCAGAAGAATCAAGACCAAGTTTTCGAGCAATATCTTTAGGAGAAATGCGAGAGTATGACAGGCCAATAGACCTTATTGCAGTTTTGATAACATTTTGACGCAGACGCAGAATCAAAGTAAATGTGTGATCAGAACGAAATTGAGGTCCAAAATTCTCTAAAACTTCACCAAACCTTTGCAAATTACCTAGCCGCACGGCTTGAGTAAGTTGGAAGTAAGGTGCTAAGGCCTTTCTCAACTGTGACTGTCTGAAGATGGCCCTTTCAGGGATATCTCCCAAGAGAAGTTCCACAACAATAGCAAGTTTTTGAACAGTTTGACGGAAACCAACAGCAGCTGTTTGTGGAGCCTTCCTTAAGGCTTGTACAAGATGTTTGTGAGCATCACTGTATTCAAGACGAGCAGCCTTTATTCTTCCTAAGTAATATAAGAATCTAGCCCATTCATTGTTACTAGCATTTTCTGGAAAAACAGATTTGCTGACTAATTTATCAGCTTGATCATATAAAGCATAGTGTAAATAGTTCCTTAAAAGGCAATTTATTAAAACAGCTTGTCCCTCATAATCATTACGTAATGTTGAAGTACGGAGGCGAGCATGAAGTAGGCCCCTAATAAGATCCAATTTGTTAGTGAGTTCAAAGACTCGGGAATGATAGAAATAACATTTGGCAGCAATGAGGTCCAATGTCCTCCTGTTCTGAGCGGTTACTTTAGAAATCAGTTGCTGTGAACATTCTGTTGCCTCTTCCAATCTATTTGTGTCAAGCATACGCACTAACACCAAAAGATGTATATAGGCATCAACTTCTGGAACTGGAGGCTTAGGAGCACTTCGGGCCCGCGGTGCTTCAATCTCCACAGAACCAGGTTGAGGTTGCTCAACAAAGGTAATTATAGTTTCTTTCTCAGTTCCAGCCGGATAGAGTTGGTTTATAATAGCACGTAAAACATTGCCATTTAATTTTCTTCTGGTACCTGGAAGCGATCGAAGTACTCTTAAAGCAAATCTTGGTTCCTTTGATGTTACTGCTTTGTCAATTTGCCTCACATGTTCCCGGAGGTCTTGAACTGTGAGGACATCAGCATCCTTTTTCACCTCATTCGCATCGGCGTCACTTGCTGCTGCAGGACTATCAACGTTCTTCATTTCAACATCTTGTTCAACTGGAGCCATTATAACTTTTTGTAGTAATATCACTTACACAAAAACGTTTTTGTAATTTGTTTGACTAATAAATTAACAATATAGTTGTTGGAAATTAATTCGATTATTCTTCAAATCATCATGTCAAAAATATGCCGAGTAACAGAGGTAATCGTTGACACTTAACATTGTCAGTAATTTTGCTGTCTGAATTCTGATCTGATCTATGATAGATAATAATCTTTATGGAATGTGATATTTTACAGATTAAAGCAAGAACAACATTTTCTGTTAGTTACTAAGAATTTACAATATAAATAATGCAAACTTCAACCGACAAAACGAGAAACCATACGATTTTGTTGATAGTTTACAAAAAATATGTTATAATTGATTCCTTCTGTTTTTTTTATTTGTTTTCAATAGCAATATCATCTGTAATACACTTTTAGCCTGTGATTGTATAGACTTAATAGACATTACCCAATGTGACAGATTTATTGAACTTTTCCCACGATTTCAGTAATATTTAGAGAACAATATATTATAATGAACAATAAATTTTTACCAGAAATTTCAAAAATAATTAGGATAAATATGTTATTATTGACTTTTTAAATTGTAATCACATAATGGTTCTCTTCTACCCCTATAATATATATTCATATATTTAAGTAATACATTTTTTATCAAAGTTATTGACGTACCGTTAACGGTGCTGATCCCTTACGAACCGTATAATTATGAGAAATAAAAAAGTTTTGACTTGCTATGCTACGATAAAAAAACGTGACCGGGCGTCTAAAATATTCAGATACAGTAAAAATTCTATAAATCACCAATTATTGCAAAATATAAATTTCAAACAAATTAACAAAGCGCACTTTTATCTTTAAAATCATAAAAGTGACACCAATCAATTTGATTACCACATTTTGGAAACTTATATGGATAATTCAATGAAAATTTTGGGAAATTTTTGACGTTTTACATGCAGTACGTTTAAGTACCAACCATAGATTCTAAACAAACCAAAACTACTAGCAAATAGCAATGCTCGTAGTTGCCTAACCAATATACTGTACCTAGTTAATTGCGATAGAAGACTAAAGTTTTAAATTACTAATGTTACAATTGAAAATATTTGGATTTTCTCCATCTTGTCACAAAAACAGTTTGTGCCAAAAGTTATAAAAGTCTAAGGCGCCACGGCCACAGGGGACCGGTTGATTCTTTTCATAATATTTCAATGTGTTCTGGAAATGGTTTGCAAAGAGGACGTGGTATCATGGTTTAAAGAATTGGAAAGCTATAAACGTATAGACGCAATGTGTACATTACTAAATATGTGCTTGCCATTCGAATTACGTTTTATCGGGACGTACTTAGAAGAGCTCGGTAAACGAGACTTTCAGGAGTTGCGTGGAGCGGAACTTAGGGCCAATAATCCAACAGATCTTGCCGCCGATATTGGAGGAGCTGATACAGACTCCAGAACACGACGAAAAATGGCACTTTATGTCTCTCTGTTAAGGTCATGTAATTTTGCATGTGCTACAACATTGTACAATGCCATGGTAAACTTAGAACAAAGTGGCCTTCTCAAAGGTCTATATGGCGATCTGCTTGAAGAAATATTGCTGTTATATACTATGGCTCTTCACCACCCAGCATTTACATTTGACCAAAAGTCACATTTTGGTGAAATATTAGATAAGCTGAAATTGGAAGACCAACGGCTACAATTTCAAGAGCATCAAGAACATCTCAATGTAGTCCCAGTTAGTGGTTGCCATACTCAATCTAATGTCACTCTAAACATGTCAATTCCACCTCCAAATATACCAAATTTGGGGCCTCCTCCTGGTTTAATGTTTGTGAAGACGTCTGGAGTTCAGGTAATAGAATCATATCTCTTTCTTACCTTTGTTGTACTTGTAGTGATAAGTAACATTTCTGTTTGTTTCATTTTTGGAAAGTAAAAATTCATTTATTATAACAGTATATAATGCAATACACTAAAGTTATAAAATTGCACTTGACAATTTCTTATTAGAAAGTTTACAATGTTATGAAATTCAATAGTCTGACATTAATATAATATGTTTTGTATTAAATATAGGAGTGTATGTATAGTGTGTGTAACACCTAACATAATATAATAAATTAAATTAGAAACCTCACATTCAGTAATTACATAATATGCTGGAATTTCAAATATTTTAATTTCTGATAGAAATCATCAGCATCAATAAAGTTTGATAACCTTTCACAGATAAGAGAATAGAACAAGTTTCTAGGAAGTTGTTCTTACTAAAATGTAAGCAGTGTATATTATCATTACATTAACATACTGCATTAAATTATTATATTGTAAGTTAACAGTATATTGGCTGAAATATTAATGGCATATATCCTGCATTTGTTAAGTGTTAGTATTTTGAGCGTGGGATAGAAATAGCACAAATTAAAGTTTCAATGATATGGATAAAAATGGACAGGAGATATTATTATGAGTAAATAACTTAAGGTTGACAGATTAAATGTGATTTTCATCCCGTAAAACTAAGGTGATGCAGTTAATAGACAAGACAACTAGTACGAAATATATTGGAACAACTGCAACAGTTTTAATGTTAATAATTTTCAAATGTTTCAGCCCAACAGCTCGGAAGCAGTGTCAGAAATCAGTTCTCCACCAGTGCTCAATACGGGCGGACTGCAGATGTTACCTGATGTGCCTCATCCACCACCTGGTTTGCCAATACCACAATATAACTTAGGCGAATTCATAGGACCGCACACATGGCCAGCTAATATTATAGTATCTCCACTTAATCCGCCAATGGAGGTAAATAACCTTAAAATGCTTATTTAATTTAACCATAAAATTTCAATAGTAATTTTGTTGTACCATGTGTCATGTTGCTACTGTGTTTCTTTAGACTTCTATTTTACAGTGCTCTTCTATAAATACTAATATTTATAAGTTCTATTATGGTTCTCAGGTAATAAATTACCAAGCAACCGGACCTCCACCTTCACCACTAGTATCTTCTCCTGGGGACAGTCGTGCCGCATCGCCTCGATCTCGTCGCCGTTTATCACGTGACCGTTCACCGCCGCTGCCAGACCCGCCTATACAACATCTAGCTGCTAACTTTGACAGTCTTTCTGTTGGAGAGGTGAGACAGGTTTTACTCTACATAAGAAGTGCATAGGTTAAAAGGGTGTCACCTGGAACTGGTGTGCTGGTGAAAATATATGTATGTTTGTAATAAAAATGTTTTGATGAATCATGACACCAGTGGAACCACACAAACGGAGTTTAGTTGGTTTTTCTGTATATGTGAAAAGTTGCCATAGCTTATAATACTAAATTAAGAATGGTCACATTTCTCATACAATAACATTTTAGAAGACCCATTTTCAAGATATTAGATAAATTTTCATTCATAATTGATTACCTTAATGCTGCTGTATAACATAGTACTGAAATTATTGATTTACGTTACAGTTGCGACATACAATCGGCGAGGAACGTCTCCGTGAAATCAGTGCGGTACACCAGTACCGGTCGCTGGAGAAACTAAACGGGGTGAGACGACGGGCAGCCTACTGTCCCCCTGCGACCTCGTCGGACTCGTCAAGTACGGGATCCACTCCCCCCGGGACCCCTGCGCCCCCGCAGCGCCGTCACACGCCCTCCGCACCGCCCCCCCGGAACTGCCCCGCCCGTGCCCTTCATACAGTACCCGCGCCCCTATCCGTACCCCACGCCGCCTCCCGCGTACCGCCCGCCGCCCGCGCCTTTCGCGAATGGTGAACCGCCGCCTTATCCCGCCCCTGCCCCCTACGCAGGATTCGTGCCCGTCCTATACGCGCCCCCCAAGCTCTCTTGCTGGAACTGCGGCGCTGCGGGACACGCCGGACATGAATGCAAAGAACCCAGTATGGAAGAAATGACTCGCGCGGGGGGCTATCAGTTAGATTTCGGCGGTGCCCCCCCCTGAAGCGACGGATAAATAGAATCAACTGAAGATCGCTTGGTCCTTCGAGCCGGATGCCCGAGAGTGTGAGCTCGTCCGCCACGCCAGACAGTTAAGTGTGCGAAGGGTTCATAACGATAAATGTAAGTGATTGCACTTTTTTAGGATTGCACTGATTTAGGCCCAGTAAATTGGTGTTAGATAAGAATACTTTTGCAAAGGTGCAAATGGTACATCCAGCATAGAAAATAATCTGTATTGAAAGTGCAGTTACGAAGAGATTATAACGTGGGAATTCCATCTATTGCGACAATATTAATTCACAGCCAAAATATGTATAAATTACAAGTGCCATTTATGTTTAGTTCAAAATCAGTAAATGTTATGTAAAAATAAAAACAAAAAAAAAAACACCTAAAAATACCAAAAACATAGGCGAAAGAGCTTTGCATATTTCTTTCCTTTGACGCTAAGTGAATTATGGATTCGTGTGGTCAATAACCGTATTTGAAAAAACTTTATGGAATTCCCAATTAACTCATATCAATACGATAAGTAATAGGAATGAGCACACAAGTTCAAATCGAGCTATTCAGCATTTGATTGTGATGTAAATGATTAGTTTCCTTCACTCCAAGACTGACTTAGATACGGATTTATTAAAATGTCTACATCAAAATTTAGGTTTCAATAGTTTGACTGAACATAAGTGCGTATGTCTGAGCGCAATTTATGTTGAACAATGAGATAATTAGATCACGATAATGCAATGCTCTTAAAATAATTTATATAAATAGTCATTGTAAATAATTATAAATAAGGGACTTGTACGTGGCGTACTTTGTAAATAGGTTTGAATTATGTAAAAAGACCGTGTCCCCTGATTTTATTGATCACAGTCACAAAACGCATTTCAGTGCCCTTAAACAGTTCAAATTAGAGAATTATTTTATTGCTTTTTTTATTGGAATCAATACGCATAGGTGGGTTACGGGGAGCGGCCGAAATTAGGTTGATCTTTGATCTCTAATGCTTTGTTTTGTCGTAGGGCAAAAGGAAACGTTTTTGCGAAAGTTCCATAAAATTCAATTTTGAAATGACTTAACTTTTGATCACTAATGGAGATATGACGTGTTCATTGACGAAATGGGTGACTGGTTTTCGGGGTTTTTATATATTAACTAATAATAATTCTAGTTTTAATTTGCTTAAGTTTCGATTAATTAACATCAAAAGAGCAATGGGCTATCAAAAAGTTGTGTATGTTACACAACCTTTTGCTTATAATTATTAAGACGTTTTTTTTACTTATAATTAAATTAAGACGTTTCTCGCAATATTCAAGGATTTCGCAACGATACCGATTGTCCTACGGCTTATACATTTGAATTGAGTCTCAGCACAAATATTCGCGGATTATTCAGTGATTATTTTTTCTTTAGGTATCTAGATCAGTCCCAGTATAAGTCCGTAAAATATATTCATGTATATGCACAATTAAATTGTAAATAACATTATTTTGTAAATTAAATGTTTTGAATCCGATAATTTTAAGGTTAATCTCGTGGGACTATACAAAATTTCACTCCTTATAAAGGTTGTCCAGTTTTGTGTTAAATATTTAAAATTATTAAAAGTTTAGACATAGCAATGTTAAGTATCTTAAATAAAAATTAAATGGTGGTTGAATGTATCAGCTGATGCCTGTTTCTTAAAATAAACTACAGTTATTTAACGTACGACCATAGTTGTGATAAAAATAATTAAAGTCAAATTTAAATATAGTGCCACATTCAAGGCTCAAGTTCCTAAGTCAAATAGGCTTGTGACATAATTTTATAAACCGCTGGTCTGTGCTTTTTGTCTAAATAACTGTTGAAACTCAAAAATCGTTGTATTTTGTGGCTACATTCTCTACTATATTTTTTGTTTATATCTATTTTAAACGTTTACAGTTAAAATCCTATTTTGTTGTTTAATTGTTGGTTTATTGTAAATTTAACTTATTTTCCTTTCCAGTGAAATCTATGTTTGACGTACTTAGTAATAATATAGGGTTGAAAGAACTAGAATAACATAGACATTTAAATTTTTCTTGTCTTAGACGTTTTTAATGTTGTTTAAGATTGTATACGGAATAAAAAAATCTGAATGCAAATATTTAGTACGTTATTCTCGAAGCGAGATAAGTGAGCGATTGTCGGGCGAATTTGAAGTACCGTTGCGAGACCGGCAATCGGTTTTTCGCCGAGGCTTATCAAGTGAAAAAAAAAAGAAAAAAAAGTCTACTTAATATGGATTACAATTTTATATGGCTTTACCTGCCAGCTCTTGTTTTAGATTGTCATCAAACAAAGGATTTTAGTTTCTAGGCGTTTTTAAAGCTGGCCAGCAATATAAAATCCGGGAGATTCCCATTTTTTTTAAATAGGTTGAACATAATCGACTTAATAACCGTTCAACACATTTTCGCTGTTTCACACTAGAGGGCGCTGTATTAAATTTATCAAGTTCAGCGTGTAAAAAACTGGAGAACTCAAAAGTAAAGTATTTGGAGGACTATTAGAAAGAATACATTTTATTTGACAGTTAATAAGCGCTTTAAGATTATTAAATACTATTTAACATTATTTAAACAGGCATTCAGCTGAATTATAAATCGCAGTTTATGGTTTTGACAGCTTTTGGTTTTGACTTACTAAAATTAATATTAATTAACGCGTGGTATTCCATATCTAAGTTACATATTTTGATTGTTTTGTTACATACAATTGTTACGAAGCAGCTTAATTTTATACTAGACAAAGTATGAAAATATTTTTTTACTTTGTACATAACATAAATGTGATAATTTTTGACATAATTAGAAATTGTGATTTAGTAGGGTGTGTATCTAGTTATAATAGTTTGTAAATGACTCGCTTTACTAAATACTGCCCTAAAGCGATGTTTATACCGTCGGTTTTCCCATTTTTATATTTGGGTACTTATGCTGTTATACTTTCTACTAAAATATCAGCATTTCAGGAAAATGAGTGTTTCGGCCAAGTATTTTACCTATGTATCCCACCAATGCTGTGAATCGTTAGCTTCCTGAAAAATAAACATCCAAAATCTCTTTTGTGTTTGTTATTTTTGCGTAATTCAATTCACCCAATGTCGTCAAAAGAAAGTCCATTGGTGCACAGACGGGGATCAAACCTACGACCTCAGGGATGAGAATCGCACGCTAAAGCCACTAGGCCAACACTGCTCGCGATATAATATTATAATTACTACAAGTAAAATACAAAATCTTTCCCAAAAACTAAACTTAACAGCGGGCTCCGGCTCGCCCATAAATATAATGAGGATATTTCCGAAATGATTGTCGTCCGGGCCCGGCGGGAGAGGCCGAGCCCACCAGATCTAAGTTTCAGCAAATAAAGCCCCATTTTAGGAAAGGGGAGATTAGACACTCCCCTGCTGCCTAGCTTCTCGGCCACAGATCTACATGATCGCGTGCCTGATAGGCTTCTATGTTCATTTTCATGACATGTTTCATGTTCATGTATGACATTTTTCTATGGACGTAGGTATAGATCAACGGGGTTTCCCTGTAAATCTATACCGTTTTCCAACGATCGACCAATAATAAGCTGGATTTGGCACTATGTTAATGAGTACCATGACATACGTAATCCAAAGACGAAATTACTTGATAAGCTTGCTGTTTGATTATAGCTTTGACACGGCGAAGGTTATCTCTATTCAGACTAGCTACTTACGCAGGATATGTTATAGTGCTCAAGTGTGTCTTGAGCTGAGAAATGCACTATCTTTTCCGGACTTTGTCTCATCCATTTGAACCTGAGACTTTATAAACCCGATATCGTTGATGTCTTTGACCACTGCCAAATTAAACTATTACTAAACCTTATTTTGTATGTGATATAATATTATAATATCAAATAATTAAAAAGCTGAGACAATATTTGTAAAAAATGCGTATAAAGCACCGAATCTTTCGTAACACGTGTTAACTTTGCGCCATATTTTCGGGTTCAACAATTTCTTATACACTTGCCTAGTTTGCTCGAAAGATGAAAACTTTATGCTTAAATCAAAGTTTTAGCAAAAGTTACGGACAAGCACGTAGGTATTAAATTATTAATATCAGATCTTTTACAAATGTAATCTGCTTTTATATGACTACTTTCTAATCATTAATAATTAAAAATGAATTGATCCAGGAAAATGAACGTATGATTGAAGACAAGTGAAGTATTTTTGTAAGAATGATCATCTGGGACTTCATCCCTAAAGAATAGGCGGAGAGGGCCAGGGTGGTCGACCCCACAGCTGATCCGCGTCGCCGTCCCAAATGCACAAGGATGCGTCCAAAAGAAGGGAAGCTGACGCATCCGTGCAAGCATTGCACCCGACCTTTCCCCAGCTCTACAAGCCAGAGTGTATATGCCGATGTGAGTATGGCACTTGCTGTGCCCAGGTCCACCCCACATAATTTATGGCCATCGGGGGCCGTGATTTCGACGGCTGATCGCGGGGCGGGATGCGAACAAGCATGCGTTGTTACCGTGTCTTGCTTCGGGCGATTGCTGATGATGCCGTGGGGTTTTCGTGGGTATGTACAGTACTGAGTCCCACATAATCCTCCACCACAAGGCAGTTGCGCCGCGGGAGGGTATGTGCAACGCATTTACCCACGAAAATATACCGTGTTCAATCGATGTATTAAATATTAAGAGAGAGAAAATCAAAGACAATAAATACCATAATATCCTAGTAGCATTATTATGATACCTAACGAATGAATATAATTTTAATTATATATGTTATAAAAATACCCCTAAAGGACACATAGCCACGGCTGGCTTATGGTTCTCCATGATCACATGACTCATTAACACCATACAACGGTTACTACTGCACTAAATGTATTATATGGGTCATGCGGCGATACGTAAAGTTATAAAACTTTTCCGTATTTACCTAAAGACACTAACAAATAGCTCTCAAACTACGTAGATGCAAGATGTATCTAGTCGGTTAAAATGCAATTGAGTAGAAAATATGTTACCTTAATGTCACTGTAAACGACAGTGCGGTACGGAAAGGTGTAGTTAGTGCACCTACTCCTTTGGTCCCTTAAAATTTCGTGAATATATTTCAAAGTAGAACTTAATACCTACCGTGGCACAAAGAAACGGAACAGTATTCCCATTTCTCAATTTTCGTATCCAACTGATGCATTGTTGGCCACAATTCCGTCAACGACAAAGGGGAATTTTTACTAGCCTTGCTTTAAAATGAAATTTTAGTTTCGGAGAACTGTGTAACTACAAATCAGAGTAGTACCTAGATTTCATTCGTTCGTAAAATTGTTTGAGTAATTTTGCATTACCTTTAAATTTGCAATACGTTAGCAATCGAAAGACTAAAAGGCCTGAGCTAGGGTAAGTGATTACTTACGTCATTTTTACCGTATACACAGACGGAAAATAAGTTCATACTTTTCAGGACAACGTTTCCACCTAATATATTAATGAAATTGAATAACATAGAAGGCCTCTTTCAAACTTGGTTTTTTCTAGGTTAAGAATATATGCCATACCAATTTAAATAAGCTGTTTTTAAATCCTGAATATTAATTCGAGTCTTATCAGTGCAGTAAATATACCTGTTTCGATGATTATTTATAGTACCTACCTAAGTACTGGCGATAAATCTGCTGTACCTTCAAAGTAAATTTTGATGACCGATGTTAATCGGCAATCATACTTAATCCAAAAATTGACTACGAATTTGGCACAAAAGGTTTATCAGTGATCATTACTTGCCATATCAGGGAAAAAAATCAATGAAACATTATAAAAACAATCCGTACTGTACGAACCATAAAGTCTTGTTATGTAATGTATGAATGATCTCTAAGTACCTACGCAAAAGTTTTGTATTTACTGGATCCTGCTATCCCTATTTATCAAAATGTCATCAATCTTGTTTGCTTACAGAGCCCGAAAGACTGATGTTACACACTTCAATCGTTTTTATTTTACTAAGGGCCGATTCGACCAAACAAGAGTAAATCTTAATCTTAGAATAAATCGTCAGTTAATCGAGAGTAAATCAATTTTACGTTTTACCAACTACAAATTCTAAGAATAGTGGACTTATTCGGGAATAGCTACTATACCGCCGTTTCGCACGGAATAACAGCTATTCCTAGAATAATTTAATGGCGTCAGTCAGTCCAATCAGCTGATTTCTGTCATTTCACAAATATGTATTCTGTGTTTTAATTTCAAGTCAACGCAACGCACTAAATTAATAGTCTGGCATTGTATAATGAAACGTTTAATCAAATTATTATTTATTTTTAGATTTTTTATTTTCTATAATATTAGAATGAAATGAAACCAACTAGGCTCAACAGAAGTTCCTTTTTAGACGAAAGCCTCAAACAAACAAGAAATAAAAACTTTTTGTTGTCGTTTGACACCAGCCCTGCGATTCTGTAACTCACTTTTCGAACTCACTCAGCGGTTTTCGCATCGGCGGTCGCTCTCAAATCAGTCGTGAAGCAGTCATTTTATGATTTGGCATTGTAATAAACAATAAACTACAAGCTCCCACCTTTTAAGAATGCCAAATCATAAAATGACTGCTTCACGACTGATTTGAGAGCGACCGCCGATGCGAAAACCGCTGTGTGAGTTCGAAAAGTGAGTTACAGAATCGCAGGGCTGTTAAAAGCTACTTTTTCACTCTATAATACGGCAAAATCGAGTTGACATGATGTATGCTCTTACACTGTCCCGTTGTAGAACAACATTTATTTGCCGAGTTTTATTTTCGTTCACCATTCTCTTGCTATTCGCGTATTGTTATTCCTAGCGCAATTATACTATAGATTACGTCGACAAACGACTATGGATTTACTCGAGATTAAAATCATGGAATAGATTATTCTTGGTATAGTTACTCGTGTATAAATTGAAGTTTGGTCGAATCGACCCTAAGTAACAAAATTGTTATCCCGACCGACGGCGACCATTTTCTTTCTCTTATATAGCATGAAAATAATTTTTGTAAATAAATTGTTTACACAGTAAATGTTTTATTATTAGTACAGACTACATAAGTTTTAGCAGTTGTTATGAATTCTTATTAATGTCCAAAATTTGAAGTAGGTATACGGTTTGTTAAACATGCTAATTAAATAATTAATTAACAAGCAAAATGATTATATTTTGATTAAAAACACAAAGCAGCAAAAGTGTACAAAGTAAAAAAAAACAATTATCAAATATGTAAACTTTTTAACATTTATATGTATAATTTGTGAAAGCAGTTTTGTGATTAAACTTCGAATACGATCGGGTAATTTAAAATTAAGTTACACTGATTAGTGGAACTTCGAAAATGATCATAAGAAATACCATAGATAAGCGTAAATTGCTCGCTGAGTCTCGGTCGCGCCATACGCGGCTGCTTTCACGATAAATTAAAATTTTAATTAAACTACGAGAGGTCACAACTCACAACTGTTTGATAAACGTTCCCGCTTGCCTTAATTCTCTGCTGGATGTGTTTTAGATATATTATTACATCGTCATTGAGGCGTCTTTCTAAGTTTTTTACCATGCTTTTCATGACAGTTCATTGGTACAATTCTTGATATGGAGCGAAAATAGCGGTTATGACATTTAGTATTATTATCGTGCCATCCCAAGCTTGCCACAGAAGCGCTACGGATATTGAGAGAACTACATCGAAACTTCATACAAAAACCTCGAAATCGGCTTTGCTACCGCAATTGGAAGTTCTAGAGTACTCGATCTGGTGCGCCACCTGCGTTAACAACTACCCCATGGCGTTGTTGCCATATTACAAACCTATAAATATTTGTATAATTTGAATACAGTAATAATATCTTAAATACTTTGGCAGACAAGAGAGCTTTACGCGCCAAGTGGGTTATCGGATGTCTATTAATTTACTAATTTGATATAAAATTAAAATATTTGTAACTAAATTTCAAAGTTAAGTCTTTTTAAGTATTAAGCAAAATTACTGTATATTGCAGTTGAATATTACAGAGTGTTTACCTATTTACGATTGATATTTATTAATTTACGCTGTCAGCAGTAACAAAAATGATAACTTATAACATAAGTGTCCATACATTGATAAATTGTAATTTGTAAAATACGTGAGATATATGTTTAACCTGATTCGCCCCATGTTGGATGCCAATGAATCTTGATGTCTTTCGCCACCTAGCTGGCATTAATGTGTGGACAAAATAGTTACAAGGAGTACATACCTGGGGAGCTTCAAGTTCATGCATAGAAGTATGCACAGTGGAATCTCGATAACTCGAATGTCAAGAAAACGGCAAAATAAAAGAAAAAAAATCGAGTTTACGAGTTTTCGACTTAACAAGAACTTCGAGATACATATGATGTAACTGCTGAAATTTTGACTTACTGAGACGCGTTTTTTCTAAGTGTTTTCGATTTGTAGAGTCGAATTTGAATCTTACTCGAAACTTAAGTTTTGTAGTATATATTTTTTTATGAATGTATTTATTCATGGGGGGGGCGGGCGCCACGGAAAAACATGACTCATGCCGTGTACCTGCTCTGAGGCGTTACCTCTTTGAGGCGTTACCTCTTAGGTTATTTAAAAGACAAATAAATGTAACTTGATCAATCAATAAAGTAATATTATATATTTTAATAAAAATCAAATATTGTTGGTTATACGTTGTCACATTAACTATCGTCAGTAAACCAACTTACAGACACAGACACCTTTTTTTTTTATGAATGTATTTATTCATTGCCCGTGTACGAGACAAAAACAATATATTATATATTTCAATAAATAATATTGTTACATTATATTAATTTCAATTTAATATTGAAATTCGAGTTATAGAGTATAAATATGTATTATCAATACTTCGTAGGGAACTAACATTTTGTTCGAGTTACAAAGTCTAAATAATTGAGATACATATTTAGGGGTTCAGCGGAAAGGAATGCCAATTTTTTTCGACTTAACGAGGTTTGAGTTATCGAGATTCCACTGTATATACTTGAACCTCTTCGGTGACAACGACTTACAAAACCCGAAAGAGGAGGTTAACAATACGACAAAGGTATGTTCTTTGCATTTTTAAATATTTTTAAACACGAAAAACCTTCAGAATAGGCCCGCAGTTCTGTCTGCAGTTCAAAAATTATAAATGTTTGATTAAACGAGGCCGCCTATTATAGATTATGTATGATTACCTGTGCGTTACCTAATTATTATTTATTACTGTACATTTTCAATTCATAAAATTAATTAATTCCAGCATGTTGGATAAAATGTCAGTAGCAATAAAATACAGTTTATTCATTTACAGTTTACAACATAAATTGTATCGACAATAACGAAATATAATTGAACATAAATGGTCTACGGGCATTTTCAGTACTGTTTTATTGGATTTTAAATTTATGCGGTAGCTCTAATAAGGCAATCTATATTTATATAGGCATTCATATTATGAATCATGCTTGCGTCTAATTAACTTAAAATATAAAATCAAAGATACTCGCTATAGAGTAACACATCATAGCACATCAATCAAAACATTTTTGATTGATGTGCCGGAGGTGTCGGAAAACCCCATTTTAATAAAAA